TATATATTATTTAATTTTCTTATTCTGTTTTTATATATGTTGACTTGTATTGTGCCGTTCTCCTGTCTGTCTATATCGTAATAATGGACAGTTTATTTATTTACGCTGTTTTCTTTTATAGATTTGGAGTCTTTGTGGTAGTTTTGTGTGTGTTTGTGTTGATTTTGTCTCTTTTTACGGTTATTTTTGCGTCTTTTCGCGGCGATTCGGGTCCATGTTTTCAAGCGGACGAGTCTTTTATCTGAACAGTTTGCGGTTCGTTTACTGTCTGACGTTTAACGTGGAAACCAGCGCGTTGTTAAAACTCAGACGCTTCAGAACGTATTTACGCTTCACACATCATCTCTCCTGTGGGTGTTTTAGTAACGACGGTGGAGACGAGCGGCTGCACGTCTCTGGAGCTTCATCGGAAAATCCCATTAGCTCGCGGCTAAAGTTAGCGCCCGACCCGGCCGAGGGGTCGATGCAGGTTCTGGACGGCTTCACTACCTTTACATATCCTCCATTATTCATGTTAAACTGTGGAGTCTAACTGGATATATGTATGATTTATAAAGAGGTTATCACATGAAAAGTCCATCGCTTCCTCCCACCGGACCTCCTCAGAACATCTGGTTCTGTATCTGCAGAACCTTTATCTACTGACCAGAGTTCCACCTTCAGACTGTGAATGTTCCAGAGTTCCACAGAGGAGGCTCCAGATTGATCACTTTAATGGACTTCTTCCATCATTTCTGAGCCTCAGAACTTCATCAGTACAGCAGATAGACACATGACAACATCTGGGTTCTGGTAGAACCTGACACCAGATCACTCAAACATTGTCCAAACAGTCTTCAGCTTGTCCATGAAAGGATGATAATGATGTAAAAATGGTCTAAATGAGCCAATAAGTGGAGAAATGTCTCACACCTACTGGAAATCTGTTTAAAACCTGCCCAGAATTTATCCAAACAGAACCTAAAACTTATCCTGAATGCCTCGAAGCTTTTCCAAAATGACTCAAATTGTCCAAAACTGACCTTAGATATGTTAAAAATGATTCAAAATGAGGACAAAAAACCTCAATCAGGCCTCAAAATGATCCAAAACTTGTCCAGAATACCAAAAATGCATCCAAAATATCTAGAAATGTTTTCAAAATGACCCAAAGCCTGAATGAAATGATCAAATCTGGTTCAAAATCACTCAAAAATTCACCAAAATGACTCAGATTGTCCACAAACCTGACTGAAAATCTCTATTTGTGGTGGTTTTATGTGTTATTTGGTCATTTTGGGCCTTTTTCTGGTGATTTTGTCTTTTATTGAACATATTTTCTGTCTGTTTGTGGTCATCTGGTGTCAGTTTAGATCATAACTAAGACGTGTTCTTCAGCCTGAAAATCCCAAAATCACCACAAATAAAATAAACAGAACAGATTTAGAGGATCTTTGGGGTAATTGTGCCTCTTTTTTGATAATTCTGTGTTTTTGTTGTAATTTTATCTGTTTTTGTGCTGATTTTGTCCATGTTTGTGGTGATTTTATCTCTTTTTGCAGTTATTTTCTGCCTTCTTTGTGATGGTTTTGCATCTTTTCTGAGCTGATCTGGTGTCAGGTTCTAGCAGAACCCAGATGTGTTCGTCCTCCTAAATGTCATGTGTCTATCTGCTGCACTGATGAAGTTCTGAGGCTCAGAAATGATGGAAACAGTCCATTAGAGTGATAAACCTGGAGCCTCCTCTGACTGCTCTCAGTGTGGAGCTCTGATCAGCAGATACATTAAAGATGCTGCAGATGCAGAACCAGCTGCTCTGAGGGAGTTCTGTTCAGATTCTAAATATGGACCTGATGCACAGTCTTTGTTCAGGGCTTCAGGTTCTGGTTCCGCTCCAGTGTGTGGGATGAAGTGCAGGCGGTGCGTTACTCACTGTAGGAGCATCCGTACACCTCCACCCGGAGGCCCATCCAGCCGCTGGGGTTCCAGTCCAGGGGCACGAAGCGCAGGAAGCGAGTCCGGACCGGGTGGGTCAGCTTGTTCTGGACCACCGCCTCCGAGTTCACGTTACCCACAATCCTCTGCAGGGCCAGAGAGCAGCAGGAGGAGCAGAGCATGAATATTTCCACTTGAAATACGAGCAGAATGAAATGAAAATCTAAATCCTGGAGCAGCAGCAGCAGGAAAACGCTGACGAGTGGAAACATCTCCACCCGCCTGCCGCCGCCGCCGCCGCCGCCCCGCTACACCTCCTGGATGTAAACCATAAAAACAGAGGAGGTGTGAGAGCATCAGCGACCAGCGAGGAGGCGGCCGGGGGGAAGAAACCACCTCTCCTGTGTTTCTCCCCAAAAACAAAAACCACCGTGGACGCCATCCCTCTTCCCTCCCCTCAGACGACACCAGGGGACACAAACAGAGGGTGAAGGATGGAGGCCGGACGGAGACGGACGGCCTCCTCATGACGGATCGCCGGCTCCGTCATAACCGACTCCGGGCAGGTGACGCATCAGATCGATAAGCGCCGTGAAGAGGCGAGGAGATAGATCATGGACGGGAGGAGCCGCGGGCCTTTGTGAGGCGACGAGGACGATCCTTCAGCTCGGCGGCGACACAAACACCGGCGGAAGCGGAGGCCTCATTAAACCGGCCGGGACGCAATCACAGCCACGGAGACGAGATTTATCCTCGTCTCCGAGCCGCTCGCCGGCGGATGAGGCAGGTAGAAGCTGCCTCGTGTACGGGGATTTGGTTAAAGCAGACGCACGGCTTCAGAGGAATGAGATAAATCTGAATTAAACGCAAGACGTGCAGGAATCTGTGAGCTGCAGCCACACAGCCACCAATCAGCTGCTCCCGTTTAGGTTTAATCGCAAAAGTTGTTGTTTTTGTCAAAGTTTAACCTGCAGAAATACGTTTAGTCACACAATCTGATCCCCAAAGGAGTGAAAACCAAAAGAAATCTTCATATAACACCATTTATCAGCCAGAAACTGAACAATCTTCTACTTTCCTACAGTCTTTGAACTACTCATCTGTGAAAACTTCAAAACGCTGAGTTAAAAATGTCAATATTTGGCTAAAAATCTGTTTTTTTAATGTGTCTGATTTAAAAAAATGTCACCAAAAATACAGCGTTTGCACAGAATCCTGCAGGAATCTGTGAGCTGCAGCCACACAGCCTCCAATCAGCTGCTCTGGTTTATATTTAATTGCAAAAGTTGTTGTTTTTCTCCAAGTTTAACCTGCAGAAATACATTTATTTACACGCTCTGATCCCTAAAACCTGCCTGAAGGTGTGAAAAACAAAAAGAAACCTCCATGTAACACCATTTATCAACCAGAAACTGAATGATGTTCTACTTTCCTACAGTCCTTGAACTACTCATCTGTGTAAACGTGACCACATCTGATTTTTAATCACAGTCACCTGGCTAAAAATGGCTAATCACCTGGCTAACCACATGCTCCGAGTCTCTTGCACAGGATCCTCAAAAAATGGAAAACTTCTGCCAAGTTTTTAAAAAAAAATTTATTTTATTTTTTCCAGTTGATTTACAGTTTTGGTCTAATTTTTTTTATTTTTTTATTTTTAATCACAGTTAACAGTTAATTGAATGCTCTTATTTCTGTAATTTAACGAGCTATTATATGTAGTTAAACAAAAGAGGGAAAATCTTTGAACTTTCTTCTAAATATATGTAAATCTTTTTTTTTTTTGCTGATTTAAATAAAGTGAAAACTTTATATTTCAAACGCTGTGAAAGAACAAATTCACATCTGGAGAGACGCTTTTCACAGTTGTGGCCTTTTGTTGTTGTTGTTATTGTTGTTTTTTTACAGTTAACTCGTAAACAAACTGATTCAACGAAAACAGGAAACGTCTGTAAAACAACATTAAAATTAGAGAAACAACCAAAATGTTCTGGTGCACATCAGCGACGAGTCCAAAGACGAACGGAGACGCTGCAGCGTTTAACGAGTCGCCCGCTAATGTGACGAGCTTCAGGTAAACAGGCTGATGGTGTGATCCGCTCGGGGCCTCCTGGACGTCCCGGAGCTACGTCAGCGCCGTCATTAGCATTGGGAGGAGGACGACGCTCGCCTCCGAGGCGTCTGTTTCCAGCTCCGGCCTGCGTGGAGCCGAGCGGCAGCCTTGGGGGTTTTCCAGAAGGCCGGAGGAGCAGGAGAACACTCGTTGCCCCGCCGCGACTTCATTATTTCTATTTATGTAGCTGTCACCGCGCCGGGCCGCCTCCCTCCACATTAATTAAGACTCTTTACTCGCGCTCTCCAGCGACCAGCTCCCCGGTGTCGCCTTTCCTTTCTGCCGCATCCCGAACACGCTCTTATTTTAATCAACCCACCGGGGGGCGAGTTTCCAGAAGGTCACGGGTGAGTTGAAGCGCCGCGAGGCAAACAGGAAGCGGCGCTACGTAACCTCGCCGCGAGTCAAAACAGCAGCGAGTCCCCGGTGGACGCTCGGTCCCAGGAAGCCCCCGACCGGCATCGACGGCGCCTCAGATGTTCCTTCAGAGAGTCGCCGAGGCTCCGAGACGGCTCTGGTTCTCTGATTGGAGACGACTGCTGAGACTTCAGCGCAACACTCGGCCAAGGTGACCATCTCATCATCTGTTACCGACGGAAACTTCCAGTAAATCATCCACCAGTTGAACCAGACGCCACTTTCAGACGTCCACACCTCTTAAACTACACCTACGAGAGTCTTTTTGTCTTTTTTAAAATCCACTTTATTTGTGATTTTTTAAGAAACAATGAATTCAAGCCAAAACAAATCGAGTCTTCCAGAAACTTCCGAACATCATTCAATAGAAATATTCAACAAAAATCTCTTGTAACTGGGAAATTAAACGAGACGCCATGTTCAGACGTCCACACCTCTTAAAGTCTACCTACTAGACTCTTGTTTTTCACTTTTTTTTAATCTACTCTATTGGAAATTTTTGAACAAACCCTAAATTTGGAGGGTTTCGAGCAAAAATATTGAGTCTCATCCAATAAAATTTTTCAATAAATCTCTTGCAAGTTGGAAGTTGAACCAGACGCC